AAAAAAATAACGGGACAGAGGGTAAAATTTGTCCCGGAATAAACGTATGAACCGAGACAAGACTTCTGTCCCGGACTTTAAAACTTGTGTCCCGGGAAAAAATGAACCGGGACGAGACAGACAGATTTGAAACGAGACACAACGAGACGAGACGAGATTTGTCTTAATTATTTAAGACAACAAGTTTTTCGATTACGATACGAATCATTTCGAACACATGGGTTGAAGAATGACAAGTTAGCCCTGTATTGCTACTAATAGGGCCATAGACACTTACCAGTTAAATTGAGTTAATTGCAGATTTAGCAAAATTTGTCTGACTAACTGACATGGCAGTTAATTAGTTTTCCGACAAACACCGCAAACCTGTCGATGTATGCATGGCTGAGTATTGAATCAAAAATGTTACTCTTAAGTCTTAACTAAGGCTTTGATGGCACTTTTGGGAACCGTATGAATATGAGTCGAGTTTATTACGCGTTCGGAACGAGTTCAGGCGCCGTGGAGCGCATAGGGAGCAGGGACGCAGTGTATAGTAGATTAGTCGGCCAATTAGTAGACAGTGGAGTAGAGTCCTGGTAAGATATTCCTAATAATACTAAAGCTGGTATTAGATTATCTCTGCCTTTAGTAAAATTTTGTGCTACGCCTCCAGGAAATCTTCACAATTGCGCTGTTTCCTGAATTGTTATCAAACACTTGGTCTTGTTTAACGTTATTTAGAAAGGATACACATGGATATTTCGAGTTCTTTTTTGAAGATCAAACTATTATATTTTTTCCAACTTAAATTTTGTTATATTTTAAAATGTTGTTGATATTACTTTCCAAACTTTTTGTTGAAGGAGATTGCATTAGGCAAGATCGATGAATCTGATTCTGTGATTGAGCTGGAGGCAAATCAAAGTCTGTCCAGTCAGCCGATGTCACCAGCTACAGCTAGTATGGCCTCCGCCAAACCACCATAAACACAATTTTTGAAAAAATGGTGTTTTTTTATTTTTGTTTTCCTGTCAAGATTAAGTACCATATTAAACCACAACATGTAATCGTAGCAAAAATCCTTTCAATTGCCGAGCTCCGATCAGAATAATAAAAGGATACGTCTCAAGTGGTTATTTAAATGCAGAGGTGGGCAGTAGCGCGCTATATGTAGCGGCCGCTACTAGCGGTCGCTACATTTTCAGGAGCGGTAGCGGCGCTACATTTAAGCAATTGTAGCGGTAGCGGTAACGCCCGCTACATATTTAAGTAGCGATATGATGTTTTGCCGCTACAGCGCTACCGCTACATTTATAGATAAAGCCTTCAGATTTTACTTAATAGTATTAAATATTATTAAAAAACTAGCATGATACATACATAATATAAATTACAGAATAAAACTGTACGAAAAATTTCGGTGTAATGTTGTCAACCTCAGCCTGTTACTAGTGTCAACATGTTAGTTGTTACAAGAGGTGGGCAGTAGCGCGCTACATGTAGCGGCCGCTACATTTTCGGTAGCGGTAGCGGCGCTACATTTAAGCAATTGTACCGGTAGCGGTAGCGCCCGCTACATTTAGAGCATGTAGCGGTAGCGGTAGCGCCCGCTACATTTAGAGCATGTAGCGGTAGCGGTAGCGCCCGCTACATTTAGAGCATGTAGCGGTAGCGGCCGCTAACTTTCAAAGTAGCGCTGCTCAGCTCTATATATATATATGTATGATGGTAAGCCAAAGTTTACACCACATCAATAATTGATTCGTCTCGTTAAAATGGCTATAAATTCCGGGAAATTTTAAGATACCTATTTTAACCGGGACGTCTCGTCTCGTCTCGGTATCGTCCCGGAATTCCTACGGAGGGCTGAAAATTGTCCCGGTTTTTATTGCGAACCGGGACAGAGCCTGTTGTCTCGAAATTACTTACTATAATTATAACTGAGGAACAGGCTTACTAGCCGGATAGTCACCAAGCGACCGACACTAGCCAGATTTACTAGCCGTCTGCACTATCCCTGTGTACAAGCACCTTTAGTGTTGACGATTGAGGAAATTCCTTTGCTTTCTTACAGGTTACCTTACTTCTTTTCTCATCAATCCATCTGGTGTGGCATTGGAGAGGCTTCCTTTGGGAATCCTTGTCACTGGAACGAGCCTCTGATTCGATTACAGTCCTGTAGTGGTTCCCAAAGTGTGCGATACCGCCCCCCCTAGGGGCGGTGGAAAGATTTTGGAGGGCAGTAAGGAAGAAGACGGCGGTAAGGGGGCGATAGGGGGGGCGGTAGTCCGAAGTCTATGTCAGAAGTTCGAACATTTATTTGACGATTTGTATACAACACGTGCAGCATACGACTCCCAGCGATAGTTCACCCAGATCTGTTTTTTAAAACGTTTTTCTTAGTTTAGCTTCGCGTTTGTTTGTTTGTTTGTTTGTTGTTAACATTGACAACGAAAATTAACCCACTTCTGATTGCTCTAGAGCTCTGAAATTCGGCATGCAGGCCATTTTCGCCTAACAATTTCAGATACAATCATAAAAACTAGCAATTAGAGACCTAAATTAGCTTAATTGAGTAAAGTATATATATAGTATATATATAACGTTCACCATCAAATTGCCAAAATTCGTGTGTTGTGTGCTTTTCGCTTTAATCATAAATCTGCCCGACACACGTTTTTTGGGGCGAGCCATGATTTATTTTCTACTTTTTAGTCCACAAGAAAAACGTGTTTTTTTAAAAAGTTTTTTTAAGTATTTTATTTTCTACTTTTTAGTCCACAAGAAAAACGTGTTTTTTTAAAAGTTTTTTTAAGTATTTTATTTAACCTCTCCTGGGTTTACGTTTCGGACAAATTAACGGCCGGACTCGCGGCCGGTCTCACGGCCAATTTCCAAATTCAATGATCAAGGAATATCTCTCAAACTAATTAACTTAACTCGATGAAACTTGGTACACGTATTCATTAGGATCTAGCGGTAATGATTCGCTTGTGAAAATTGTTTGAATTTTGCCTTTACTTGTTTTTGATATAGTTATATGGCAATACGGGCCGAAATTCACAGTGATCAAAGAATTTTTTCCAAACTACTGAGCAGATTTGAACGAAATTTTGAATTTACAGTCCTAACTACCGAACGGTAATGTTTAGCTCGTGAAATTTTTTTGATTGTGCCTTCGTTTGCCAGTTTTTTTCCTTTCACCTTCATTCGCGATTTAAACAGCAATACGTGCTTAAAGTCGCAATAATCAAGAAATTTCTTCCAAACTACTGAACAGATTTGAACGAAACTTAGTATTTAAATACCTTATTTCAGCAACGGTGATGTATAGCTCGTTACAATTTTTTCGATTTTGTCTTCGTTTGCGAGTTATACAGCTATACCTATACGGACGGCTCTTGGTTAAACCGGCTGGTAGAAAAGCTGGTCGTTTCTCCTATATCTGTATAACTTGCGAACGAAAGCAAAATAGAAAAATTGTCACGAGCTAAAAATCACCGTTGGGAGGTTATGTATTTATAAACAAAGTTTCGTTGAAATCTGTGAAACGAAATCTGAAATCAAGAATGATGAAATGAAAAAAAAATCGCAAACGAAGGTAAAATCGAAAAAAATGTTATAAGCTAAATATCACCTTTTGGTAGTTAGGAATGTATATTCAAAATTTAGTTCAAATCTGTTCTGTAGTTTGGAAGAAATTCTTTGATCACTGCAAATTTCGGCTTGTATCGCAATATAACTCACGAATGAAGGTGAAAATTAAAAAAATTTCACGAGCTAAACATTACCGTTAGGTTCTGATGAATACATGTCCCAAGTTTCATTGAGCTGCGTTCATTAGTTTGGGAGATATTACTTGATAATTGAATTTGGAGATTGATCGTGAGACCGGCCATGAGTCCGGCCGTAAATTTGCACGAGACGTCCTAGGTTTCTAGTGCTGAAACAGTTAAAACCGCTGAAAAGCATAATAGTTCACTAAATGGGGTTCTATTTGTAAAATACACATTTGTGTTTAACTTTTATCTTTTAAAATTGCAGCGTACTAAATTTCAAGAAAGAGGCGTATGTTTTTAAACGTGTCTGTGGAGCGCTAGAAATTTACTAGGAAGCCAGAGCCGCCAGCCTGAAAAGTTTTCAGCCGCCAGCCTGAAAAAGTTTGGGAACCACTGGATTACACAAACTCAAACCATATATATTTCGACAGTGCATACGCCCCTCCCCCGTCCTTACTCGTTGATTAGGTAACAATTAGATTTCCTTGTGTACTAGTATGAATTCCTTGGCATAGTTTAGCTTTCATAGTACAATTTTGGTTAATTTATTTATAAATTGAAATCAAGCTCATTCCCATAATTCGATAATGGGTGTTAATTCTAACTGGTGGAAGGCGTTTCGTCAGAAACCACGAACTGACAAAGTAGTGGCGAACCACAAACCCTTCATCGCTGTCTGGTCAGTTCAGGCTGTTCAGCTCGCATTCGAGGCATTGCACTCGCACGGGTTGTAGGGATGTGCGCATGGCTGGTGCTGTAGAGTTTATTGTCTTGTAGTTGTAGACATTGAAGTGAATATGTGATTGATAATGTTAGTGACTTGACAAATCTTTTCGATTACTTCTGATGTAATTTTCACTATTAAAATTTATCTTGAACGAGTAATGAAGGTTTAGAGTTTAACTAATCCGTTTCAATGCCCGTCCCGTTGTCTCCGCGACATACACTGTGCAATTTTTCTTCTTGATCAGTGAATTGTTTCATTACTTTCGATTAACCCTGGATGCCCACTTTTGATCTTGCCTATCTAGTTAAAGAATTAAACACCTTTATATAACGGCTTTTAATCTATTATTTTATTTTTAGCAATGTAAATCTGTTTTAGTAATGTAACGTACCGCCGGTACCGGCCCTGAGGTTGAGAAGAAGGCTGGAATTGGCTATCGCACCTAACCTCCGTTGCTCCGTAACAATACACCTAAAGCTTTTGACATCCATGTATCTCATTAGAAGAATGAAAGTGTAAGATATTTGATTTATTTTGTATTTATCTTATTTAGGACTCCACAGAAACGACGATGTTTTTTAACGACGGGTCAAAACCTGCAAATGGCATAGTAGTGAGCTTCGTAGGAGAAAATGAAGTCCGTGCGGATATTGGAAGTGTGGGTGTGAGAACGGCTGCAGTTGGAGCAAGGGATGTAATCACGGATATTCTGGCTAACGGGAGTGACGGTGCCACTGAATTGGTTAAATTACTCGTAGAACAAATGAGATATCGGCAGAACAAAGGTCCGTCAAAAATGAAGCAGTTCTGCAAATTTTGTCGCAATAACAACGAGGAAGAAATTTTCCACGAATTTAAGGTTAGGTACTTTTCGCCTAGGCATTGCACACTGTTTTGGTTGTACGCTTTTTATGCATCGATTTAACTAACTTGGTAGTTCACACATTCTTCTCCGCCATTTTTTTACAATTGACTCTTAATTCGACGTAACATTACTTTGAAATTGTACTACTGGTCAGATGTATCGGGGAAACGAAATCGTTAACCCTGTTTTGATAAAAAAAAAACGCTCAAAACTTTGAAAGTTCTTGGTAGTTGGTATTAATGGAAGTTAAGGAGTTTTTATGTTTCAAAATGTATATTGACGCGTCATTTCACATTTCAGGATGTGACCGGGCGCGTAGTATGCCCTGTGCTGTCTCAGCACGTTTGCGAGCTGTGCGGCGCCAGTGGAAGTGACGCACACACTCGCAAGTACTGCCCCCTCAACCCCCTTACTTTGGGGGAGCCGGAGAAGCGCGGCTTTCCTCCTGGCATGTTACCACTCGATGTCCAGAACCACACCCTGCTTCTCATGCGTGCCCTCGCTGCTAGTCACCACCGATACTAATAACGTTAGTGGGAGGTTTAAAGCATCTTTGATGTGTTCACGATTAGTGAGCATGATTAGTATTGGTCGTTCATTTGAGGTTAACGACTAAATCAGTAGTGTCTCTGTGGCAATGGAACCATATTTTATGTGTGGCGGAAGACCTTTTCTGTAATTCCTTTCAGGTTTCACGGAGAAGGTAGAAATGTTTTTTTTTTGTTCACATTTAAATATCTCGTGGTGATTTTTTTCCTGAAGTGGTACGCTTCCTAAAGCGGAAAGGAAAGTGATGAGGTAATAATGTTAGAAGTTTTTAAGCAATTACTTAAACATTCTTATTCTTGAAGGGAAGGATATGATAGGAAGTGTTTCGCATCGTTTCTGAATAATTAATGTTACTACCTACATCCGGTATGTTACAACCGGAAGGGAGAGATAGGATAGGAAGGGATTCTTATCGTTTCTTAATGTTACTACACCCGATATGTTACCACCGGAAGGGAAAAATCGGATAGAAAGGGATTCGTATCGTTTTTAATTATGTTACTACACCCGATATATGTCGAGAAGAAATTAAAAATTGAACCGAATTGTTTTTTGTTCCAGTCTCGTTTCCACGCCACATTTTTGTTTGTCCTGCTTTCACAGCACAGTTAATCACTGACAAATAGAATTTTGGTTGAAATGTAGGTATTCCTGGCTCACAAGACTTAGAATATCTTGAAAGATTATTCGGAAAGGATTTATGAATTTTCTATTGACAAATGATTGATCAGCGCTGCTTCTATTTGGTTGTAATTGTGAGCTTCTTGCGCTATATGCGCCACTTTAAATCACTTGTCGCCCGGACTTGATTTAATAGTACGCGCATTGGCCGATTCCTCGTTTGTATAGTATAAAATATATTGCAAGCATTTAACCGTGATGAAGGCAAGCTCTCGTAAACACAATATTTTAAAAGTTTAATCTAATAATTTGCTACTAATAATTTGCTAATAATTGTTTGAATGGAATTTTTTCCACACTTGTATTTAGTGTATCAGTGACGTTTGTCCAATTTCTCTGAGTATTAATACAAATAATGCACCTATAGGTATGCATTTCGTTAGGTTTCAATGGCGCACAGAATGTCAAAGGTCATGTAGCTTTACTGGGAAGTTTATATTAAACTACACGTCTTATTTTTCATGTAGACGTACGCCAAACTACTTACAGTATGCTATCGACAGTTGAAAATGAAGTAGAGCCCGTTGCTTTAATCTGAAGAATAGAATCGATTTATTCTATTTTTGTGTCTAATGCGATTGCCGCTCTCGTGGAACTATATCAATCTTACGTTGGAGCAGCTTGCTAGCATGGTTTTCGTCTATAATGAAATCCACGAAGACGAGGTTCCCAAGCGCCTGGAATCCCATCTTTGAAGAATCCGAAGAAGAGGTTATCAAGCGCTCTGAATCCCAACATTGTGGACCAGACGGCTTCCACTCTAGATTGCTCAAAGAATTAGCAACCGTCCTGGCAAAGCATTTGACAGTGATCCGCATGAGCGGCTGTTGCGTAAAGTGAAGTCTTTGATGATATAGAGAAATGCACTCCAATGGATCGGTGATTGTGTAATAGGTAGGCCTATTCTGTTTGTTACTTTTATTAACAATCTGTCGGAAGAAGAGTCAAGCGTGTACTCCATGTATGCCTACGACACAAGTTTCTAATACAGCTAAGGATGCGTCAAATAAAGTGAACTTGATAGTTTAGTTGACTAGGCTGATACCTGGCAGTCGCATTTTAATGCTGACTAGTTTACAGTACTCGACCTCGGGCAGAACAATGAACGGCAAGATTAAAGTATGATAAGTCATGGTAGCAACAAGTTCTTATTAAAAAGTTTAGCGAGAAAAAAGATTTAGGAGTTTATGTCGACGAGGAGCTGAAATTTTCTAGGTAAATTGAAGCGCAAGCTACTGAATCCAATCTTGGACTGATCAGACGCTCTTAAGAGTTCCTAGATGCAGGAGCTAAGCTGTTGTTTGTCGCTGGCGTTGAAAGCGCCGTGTGGTCACCGAAACTTGGAAGGGACAAAAATTTAGTCGAGAGCGTTCAAAGGCCTGCAACAAGGATAGTTCCAGGCTCGAAGGGTAAGTCTTATGAAGGAAGATTAGATTATTTAATTCACAAGCCACGACTTCGTGGTGACCTCATTGAGGTATAATGAATACTCCTGTTTTGTACAAGGTCCTAGAAAGATTACTTTAATGTGAAACAAGAACCAGCTCAAAGGGTAACGGAAATAAACTAAAAAACTGCATTGCAACTCGTCTACGCAGCAACACTTCTCGCTTCGAGACTCCTATATGTGGAACAGCTTCCCTGATGACGTCGTTGACGCTCCCAGCATTAACGGGTTCAAGAAGAGACTAGATAGAGCCATGGAGAAATATATACATATTCAGACTTTAAATGCCTAGCACCATCGGAACCTGGTAGAAGTCTAGTAGCCATTTCAAACTATCGTCAGTTTTGAAAAGAACCGGTCAAAGGATGATCTGTCGGACCAGGCCTTTTCTTCAGCGCTGACGTCACTATGATACGATATAGTAGTAGTCGGCTTTAGTACGCGTAGCGGCCGATTTCTAGTTTGTTATTTGTGGGTTTAGCACTTTAGCTTATGGAAACCGTCTTCAGTGACAGAGTGGAAACCTCGCAACTTTTCTATAGTACAGCTCCAATTCTAAGAAATTATCACGGCGACATCTCTCGCGTTGAAGACAGGAGGAAAAACTTGCAATCAGAAAATAATCTTTAATACGATTGATGTGAGGCTGGGATATTGAGTACAAATTGAGTACAGGCACTTGGCTAATTTGTCGGTCTTCGCTAATCACATGTAACGAAGTTAATCAATAATAACACAAGATTATGCACTGAGCTGGTTCTACCTTACTTGACAACCTATCACGAAAATACGCAAGCTATACGGCACCAGTTAGTGAGATTAGCGATAAGAACCGTCATTACCTTATCGCTGCCTGAATACGTCAACTAACTAATTTGTCCAAAAAGTTATATTTTTCCCAGCGTATAGGAGATAACAAATCCCGAGTCAAATAGGCAAAACAAAAATTGTACACGAGAGGGAATAAATTGACCAACCACAAAATTGTGATTCGTAAGCTCTCCATTTCTCCGTACCATTAGATGAAATCTCACTCCATTTGCTGAACGTGCAGGCGATTCATGTAAACTTTGACCCTAGCGAAACTTTACAAGGCTACAGGCTGTATTATAAGAATGGTTAATCAATGAATTTAGACTTCCATTCTCAGCTCTAGCACAGTGAGCAACGCCCCGGCGTAGCCTGGGACTGCTACGTCCGAAACCCATGGTTAATTTACAATTTTAACATGGCTTATTTCAGATTCATTCTATCAATACTAATGTGCTGGTAAAATGAAAGTTAAAGGTTAAAAACGCTTCAACTGTGACAACATAAGTTTCGTTCTTTCATTCACTGCAAGTCAATAAATAATTATTCCTCAAACGTACAGGACTCATTTCATCACGAATTAGTTACGAAATTCCATACGTAGCATCGCTAGCAAATTATGAAAGGTCACAGATTTCAAGCGCACATAAACAGCAGCAGAGAAACAGCGTTGAAATCTTGGCTACAATAAAAACGACGGCGTGCGAGTACAGCAAGCGACTCTCTGAGACGTACGCTCTGGGACATTGCCCGTAGGCGTGCGACTTTACATGACGACTATATATTGTCGACACACTTCAGAAAAGTTCATATGGACAAGTTATGGGTAAAAAATCACTAGTAGTTTGGTAGATCTAGTCGGAAATTCATATATCTTGTTACATAAAGTCATTGTCATCATTACCGAATCATTTCAGGATTTTTCCATTTATAGGCTAATCTTAAAAACCTATAGTCATGTCCCGGCCAACATCCACCTTTATATTGAATAGGGGATCCGTTTAATTGAGTTTAAAATATCTCTCAAGGAAGTACTTGGTGTACAACCAATGTCAAATAGTCAAAAGCAGTGAATAATTACCGTTAAGTTGTACATGACATGAAGAAGATGAGACGCCTCTCGCCATTTAGCGCCCCATTTCTTACGCATCCCAAATACGACTCATCCACAGTGGTCCATCCGATGAACCGCAGTCGAATTAAATACTGGGCGATATCGCACAATCAAAATCTGCCCTCTTACAGTTACAAAAGGCGTAAAACGAGTAGCATAACATCAACAAAATCAACACAGTTAAAAGCGGTAATATGAACGCGCACTTACTGATGAAATAGAAGCAACGAAGAAATGATGCATTGAACGACATGGCGCTGCATAGTAACATGAACATTATTAAATAACATCTACTCTTTGATACTAACATCTCACTCAGGTCACGGACTTACAACCTTCATAAAGCTCGAGCGCTTGCATAGCAGATGTATACACGGAGTCTGAGCAGGAAATGAGTACACAATTTAAACCATTACCTGAACACAATTCAAACCATTACCTGAACACAATTCAAACCAATACCTGAACACAATTCAAACCAATACCTGAACACAATTTAAACCAACACATGACATGAACACATTTCAACCCATTTACATGAATACAATACAAACCCCTGAAAATTACTAGCTAGCTGGAAGCACAATAATTATCGATGGCAAGCTTCATTAACTCGCAATAGAATTGGACTAAAGTCAAATGAATTAGCAGGTTGGTGTCACAGTTCGAGGTCAAGATTCTATTGCATAGTCTATGTCCACAGTAAATAAGAATAGCCGCTTTTTTATGGAGATAAATGCATTGGAAAACTTGACGCAGCAATGTTATTTGTCAATGGTTTTGGTCACAATCCATGGGTAGAATGTGACCGCAGGTATTATCTGCAGCTACGAATGGCAATGATGAAAGCATTTTTTTTCGAATTTGACTTCGTTCGTATGTTACTTTAAAAATTATTATAGTTGAAAAATTGTTATACAAGCTAATCTTGTTTTCAGCGAGAAAAAAACTTTCGGTGAAATGATAATAGATGGGCACTAGGAGCCTTTCACATTTAGCACTTGGGGAGTTTATGAGAGGGATTTTCTCTAAGACAAATTTGTATGAAGATCAGGTTTCGCTTCGCTTCCCAAGTCCAGCTCTTGGTGAGGAGGAGAAAGAGTAATTTTTGTAATGGAGTGGTCATCTGAAGTGTTAGCTGCTCGGTCAAGCGGTCTGGGAACATCTATGCAATCTTTGGTGATGGTATCTTCGAGATCGTTTTTTCCCCCGCATAAAATAGGGAAGACTTCGTCACGGAGATCAGGAGGACTTTCATCTCCAGAACCACATTCACGAACCCCAAGTGACGAGGCATCAGAATCCATTTCTGGCTCATATGAATCCTCATTAACCTTTTTCTTTTCACCTTCTGCTCGCAAAGCAGAGCCAGCAGGAACGTCAGCTTCACGAAATGGTTCGGGGATAGTTTTTAACTCTGCTATTGTCGGTTCTTTGTTATCGACATTCACCGATAAGCTGGATTCCTGCAGCAAATAAAGCGTCAGTTAATGGCCGGAAACAGTGCAATTCGATTTCTGTAAGTCTATTAATTACTGGTTGCTGATATTTAAACCTAAAATTAACCTATTGGCGGATCTTGCTATCCAAAGTATAGTGTTTGTGGACTAAATAAAACTTTTCACCCCTTATATACCATTCACTAGGAAGGATTCGAATAATGTGGACCTGATGACCATGATGATTACCCGTTCAAATCATTCTGTGCACTTCTTGCTTGTGAATGTACATATATTGAGTGAACATCTGACAAGATAGAATCATAACCGATAGCTTTGCTAGCTAATTCGCAAGCACCTCAATTGAACATGAAACTTTACTGCTTTTTATTCACAGCTTAAAATCCTCCTTCTGAACTGTAAGAATTTTAAAGCAAAGGAAATGACACAAGAATTCACCATATCTTAATAGAAGAAAACGTTCCAGTTCAAAATCCAGTACAACGTGGTAAAATGAAAAGTGAATATTATAGTAAATTCACACAACAAATCGCCGTAAGAATATGGAGTCTTAAACACGTTACCGTAAATTGTTTGTCTTCAGCTCCCACGCCGGGCTCACGTGTGAGGTTCTCCATGCCGCCGTACCGCCGCTGCTCGTGGATTTCTTCCGAGATCTGGAATGAGATACACAACTGAAGGTGACATAGTAAACTCATTCTCTCACAGACACGCTGCAAGGCTCTATGATGCACAACTGAAGGTAACATAGTAAACCCATTCTCTCACAGACACGCAGCAAGGCTCTATGATGCACAACTGAAGGTGACATAGTAAACCCATTCTCTCACAGACATGCTGCAAGGCTCTATGATGCACAACTGAAGGTGACATAGTAAACCCATTCTCTCACAGACACGCTGCAAGGCTCTATGATACACAAATTAAACACAATCCTCGTCCGACATCCATTCACCGATCGCTAGGTAGGTTACATTATAACCCTAATAATCGCTAGTGTCGAGAGTGACTTTTCGGGTTTCAAAATCATTTTGAATCTTAAGATCACCTAAATGATGTTACTTCTGATCAGAACGAATATACGATGAATAGTTTTCAATTCAGCTCGGGAAAATATTTCTGCATATGTGCTCTAGAAGATTTATGGGAATTTTGCAAATTCCAATAAATAGATTACTTTCTACACAAAATGAGCTAGAAACTCGTACAATATTTAAAAAAAAACATCCAATACATGCAGCAATTGCAAGACAGAACATGCTTGTACACATATACACGTATCACTTGCACACTATAATTACTAATCAATCGAAATTGAGTGAGCATTGTAGTTGATGAGGACTCACTCTCTCGAGGTTCCTGAGAGCGTGCGAGTACGAGAGCTTGGCGTTGGCAACCGCTCTCTGTAGCTCCTCTACACGCAGGCTCATCTGCTCCATCTGAGCGTCGAAATTATCTTTCTGCTCGAAGTACGGCCTCGCTTTGTCGATGGAGCTTTTCAGTTGACGACCTGAAGCGTGGATTATTGTTCATGATAGTTCAACTTTCAAACAATAAGTTCAATGAGACAATGAACAACCTCGATCTTCTTAAGATCGTTGAGTTAAATTCGGTCTGCTCATTATAGTAACTGAGTTAAAGCGAAAGTATTCTCCGGACATTGATTCTCCCCTTAGTTTATTCGTGCGAAGTTCAAATATGCAGAGAAAGTATAGGTAGTTTTTGTGTAATTCTTCAATGTTGTTGAATGAACAAATGTAAATGAACTGGTTGATTGCATTTTTATCCTTTTGTTTTCATTTGAAAGTCAATGGTAAATTAATTCCAATTTATTTCAAGCATGCAAGAAAGATTCATACTGATAACAGTCTAAGAAATAAAAGTGTGCACGGCTTTATTTTAGGGATTAATTGAAGACTGGGACTGACCCAAGACGGCAACCCGCTGCTGGGCGGCCGTGAAGGCAGCTGCTCGCTTCTCGTGCTCTCGCTCACTGGCACTGCGACCAGCCTCAGCTTCCAGTACCTATAGCGCGTGGCATGAAGTAAACCCTCAGCATGTTATATTATTATAGCTATTATTATTTAATCACATTATTTTTTATTGTTAATTATTATAGTTGTCATCTTACAAGCTTAATCAAAGCTGACATATCAAGGCATACTCGATAAAGGCTGTGACAGCCTAAGGCAACAGAAAATGCATTCCTGGAGTGAACCGGAGAAGACGGATTGTTCTCACGTGACATGTGTCTTATAGCTTGTAGGCATTAGGCCAGTCATTCTTGTATTAGGCTTCTCTGGATACTGCCATATCATGTCTCTACCCTCATGCATCAAACTCGAGCACGAATCATCAAGAAACGTAACACCGCGCAGTGTGTCCTAAAATTTGCAGGTGTTAGCCTCATGATTTTGCATACCGTCAACTGGGGTGACTTCGGCCACTGAAGGTGACTTCGGCCACACCTACAACAGAAACAAATGGCAGCAAAACAAAATAATAAACGTTGGCCAAAGTGACTGGGGTAACTTTGGCCACCGGGGTGACTTTGGCCAACATTTATTATTTTGTTTTTTAACCATTCCCTGTTTTTAATTAATAAAATTAATTCCTTTTTGTTGGAATGGTGAGTGTGGGAGGCCTTATTTTGTTTTGCTGTCATTTGTTTCTGTCGTAGGTGTGGCCGAAGTCACCCCAGTTGACGGTAACTAGTATAATTAGAGTAGGGTTACATTTTAAACTGCTCGACAGTTCTTACGGCTCATTACCAGCGTGTTAATTACCAACAGCTTGAATGAACCAAATAAAATCTTGTACCATGAAGTAATAGAATGTATCAAGTCGTGGGGAAGTATTCGGTACTGTCAATGAGGTTGAATCAATCAAGAAAACTTGTCCAATTTGCTGCATAATATTCGTATATATAAATTAAAAAGTGAAACGCGTTGAGAAAAACGATATATTTTCAAAAATATGTGTTTCTGCGTGCATTGTTGACGTATATATAGCGCTATTCCGCGAATTTCGTTTGCTGTATAACGAACATCCTCACCGGATATTCGGCACATTGAAGTTGGTTGAGATCAACGACTGAGATTCCGGGTTTGATGGTATATCGTTTTGTAAACAAAAAAAACTGAACATCAAGGACTTGCCTTCCTGGTTGCATGGTTGAGCATTTCCTGCCAGGCGGGGTCAAACTGGCGCTGGTTGAGATGAGCGTTGGAGAAACGTTCCTCGGCCAGGGAGATGGTGGAGCGCGCCGCTTGGTGCACGGCTGCGCGAGGCCATATGTAAAGCTTCAAATAATTAAATGCTTTTTATTGTTATTAATGAATTAAAGAAGTTATTCTTACAATAATTTTTTGTTCCTTATTTTTCATAATATGGTCAATTCAGCAACACATAGGAACCATGAGAGAACACTACGAATGCACCAATACTTTATACCGGTACTGACTGGAATTTGAGTATGACAGAAACTTCATTTCCCTAAATTTCGAATAGTAGATACAGATTGGATCAAAAATATCAAACATTTGTTGTATATATATACAGCCTCAATTCAAATTGAAAGACCGGTCTTCGTACTGACAATTAGCTCTCTGGTATTGCACAGCCGTTCTCTGGCAGTCGAGGTGCAGTTTCCTGGCATGCTGCATGGCTTCAAAGTACGGCCTGGCCTTCTCCACAGCACTGCCTAGCTTGCGCCCCAGCAACTGCAGGCTGCTGCTAGCCTCGCTCAGGTCGTGGCGGAAGCTGTTGTTCGCATCCTGTGCCGCAACAAAGACATTGCATTCACTCGGCAAACACGCGAGGAGAATTGAGACAGCACATTGCATTCAGATGGATTAGCTGAGAGATAAGACAACACACATAACATGTAATTGTTCAAGTAGAATATGTGAATCGATGCAAACACCCTATTGTAATGAAAGATTGATTTGTATATGTTGTGTGGACTTTTACTTCTAGAACAATGAAGATTAGGTTGCGTAAACATAAAAAGCTTTTTTGCCTTGAAACGGCCAAGCGATGATGAATCACGTGCGGAACTTTCCCTACCGGTTCTGCCTAGCATTCTTCCAGGTGAAATTATTGCGGTTAGGTCACAGCGATAACAAACGCGTGATTTTAATAAAAAACGAAAAAGTAATACTTTTAGAACCGATCTTAATAAAAAAATTAAGGAGTAGAAAGTGAATTCAACACCAGAATAGTTAGTTTAGTGGCCACATGTTTACTAGCGCTTCAGCTATTTAGCTATCTCGCACCGTAAGTCATAATGAACATCACCAAAGAGGTGTAAGGTCTCAATTATCAAAAGTTTTTCAAATCAAAAATTGCTCATCACCCACAAGGGGTGGAAGGTCTCAGATGTCCAGCCCGCTGAAACTGGCTCGAAAGAAGCAGCGTTAGCATCACAAAGAGACAAGGAGGGACAGGTGAAAAATAACAGAAACGAAGACACTCGAACAAGAGGTCGCTTACACGGGACGTCGGCCACCCGCACGAGAGAGACAGAGAAGGGAAATGTAAGGAATCCTATCTACATAATAACTTAACCCCACAACTGAGATCTGCAGTCAGACACCGCGAGCTCAGCGGTGGGGCGCTCAGGAACAATCCCCCTAGGAGCGCGAAATCCCATAGGAGTTCTGACGCGCACAGCAACACCCGAAAAATTTTTCATTACGGACAAGGCTGGTTTCGAATTTTTAGTGACGTACCGGGGTTGGAAAAAATAAGGGAAACACCTGAGATATTCACAAAATATATATAAGTATGGTGTAGGTCTGCCTTTTGCGGCAAATACAGCCTCAATTGTCCCAGGTATTGATTGATTCATACAAACTGTGAATTGTTTCCAGAGGAATTTTAACCCATTCCTCAGCTAAAACTCCCTCCAGCTCTTTCGAAGACGATGGCGGCGGGAATCGACTTCAGACTTGCATCTCTAAAATCGAACTATATCTCTAAAATTTACTATAAATGTTCGATAATATTCAGGTCTGGTGATTGTGGTGGCCAAATGAGATGCTCAACTTATTAGAATATTCCTCGTGCCAACAATTCCAGCTGTTTGGATCGGGGCGTCATCACCTTGAAAGGTGGCGTTCCCCTCCGGAAACAGCTGGTGCTTGAACCATTGGATGAACTTGGTACTCTATAATTCCAAAACAGTCACGGCTGTTCATTCTCATTGATAAATCATTGGTCCGCCAGATTTCCAAGAAATAGCACCCCAGATCATCACAGATCCCCGCCTTGTTTTACGGTTAGGAGGAGGCAGTCGGGATTAAATGGCTCTTTTGACGGTCTCCAAACGTTAACTCAGTCAGAGGTTTGAAATAAGGTAAACGATGATTCGTCACAGAAAATCACATTTTATCACTGCTCGAAGGACAATTCCTGGAGGTGTTTACACCACTCTAAACGCTTTGAAACATTTGTATTTGAAACCAGAGGTTTTCTAATTACATCTCTTCTATAGAATCCAGATCTGTGCAGCTCTCGGAGGAGTCTTTATGGAAACTGGGTTGTGCAGGTGCCCATTGAGGTCTGCAGTAATTTCAACAGCCGTGGTCTTTCGATTGTTCCCCACAATTCAATTTAGGCACCGACGCTCTTTCTCAGACAACTTCAATTTTCGGCCAGCTCTGTGCTTTGCTGAGGACGTGTTTCCTTTTCTTTCAAAAGCAGTCATTACTTTTGAGACAGTACCTCTAGAAACGTCAAGCATTCGGAAAATTTCTGACTCACTAGCACCTGCCATACGCGCACCAACATTAGCCTCTTTGAAAGTCAGAGAGGTTTGCCATATATAGGTTTTAGACACAAAATACTAAAATATCTGTGCAAGGATAAAATATCAATTAGCAGCAACAATAATCAATAAAACATAAAAATAAGTCACGTTTTTATTGTTTATGACATATTCATATATTGCGATATCCAAATGTCAGGCGTTTCCCGTATTTTGTCCAACCACTATTATATATAGATATTTTCAATTCAACAAGAGCTGCATTTCCCAGAAATTGCAAACTACTGGAGAATTGCAGTGGTTCGAATTATTATAAAGAAACGTGCTCGCGTTTAGCTTGACACTTCGGGAAGGTCCATGAATGATATTACTACAATCGTAGGTAGTGAAGAAAGGAGAAAACCCGTTGCACACGTCGATCAATCCACGATTGTGAACGTTCGTGGAGCTTATCAAAATGATATGCACATTTAGATTAAAACGGGTTTATAACGTGCCACGCACATTTAAATAAGCACAAGCATTTCAGGTGTCACCTAAATTTGATATGTTGTTACAGTTCTGATCAGGACTAGCAAAATTTCTTGCATTGCGTTAACCTAGTTAGTATAACATATAATTCGTTACGCAATGCGATCGCCACAATAAAATAACCTGATTGCTCTCGTATTTTCGAGTTTCGCGTATTGAGTTTGCTTCGTCGCCGGTTTTATTAATCGAAGTAAAATTAGAGGGCAATGCACACTTATAATCACAATGCGGTCATCGCTCACCTCCAGGGCCGACTCGAGTTTGTTGATCTCATCTGTGGCGCCATTGAGTCTGTCCAACTCGACCTGAAATAAAAAGTCAAGAAATATCATCATCACGATGTTAAAACGCGAGAATAAGAAAGCCTAGTAAATCCTGCATCATCATATCACGCGTATTAATTTTCCTATTATAAATAAGATAAGAGAAGAAGAAGACTTTTCTGAATGACAGCTGTGGTGAAAATGTTTTCATTTGTGGGCCGCAAGTGGAGACTTCGATGGCGTCGCTGGTGAGTAAATCTTCCTCAATTTACTGAATCGATCGTGCATTGAATGGAGAGGGTTTTACTTCTCACACACGTTGAGATAAAATAAAACAAACTGTTACCAGAATATTTGACAATTTATGCTCGTACTGAAGTGTATTTAGCTATCTGCAAGACTGCAACATACCCACCAATACGCACACATACTCTGCTAAGGCAGAGTTCACACCATTCTTCCGGGCACGCGCCAGGCATGTATGCCAGTCCATATGCAGTCCGATGTTCTTTGGTGCATTTTCATTGCAGCATTCGCACGATGAGCTTGGCAGTTGCATTGGACGGGTCTTGTGAATGCTTCCATAGAAATGCGTTGTATAATATTGGACTGGACCGAGACTGGCCTGGCACGTGCCCGGCTGTATGGTGTGAACCTGGCAGAAGCCGGACATGGATGACATTAACCCGACCTCTCCACAAGTGACCAGCACTTGTTTACGTACAATTCAAGTCGTGGTCGCAACATCTGTAGCTCAGCGATTGACGGTATGGCACGCATAAGGGTAGTCATAAGTACGCCTAGGACGTTATGCCAATTCTTTTCCACATGAAGGAATTTTAGTCCTATCGTTGTTATGGATTATAGTGTCAGTCTTCGGATGTTTAAGGAAATACGTCTGTTATTAATCGATGGCATTTATAGGAGCTCTTCAATGGTTCATTTAAATACTAAGTAGTAGTAGTAAACCTCTCACTAGCCTCCCAGCAGCATGTATTAAATATATTACATTAAATGCCTTATTTCTTTTTGCGCCCAACGGCAGCTGATCGCGACACCATGGGAGCGTAAATGCGTCCAGAGGCCGTAAGTATCGAAAATCACTTGAGGACACGTAGCGGCTAAGTACACGTATGGGCAATTTGTGGTCTGTTATTGATTGGTTTAGTATGAAAATAAACAGTTGATTAGCAGATGGACTTTAGAACTTGTAACTTTTATTGATAGGATGGCACCAGGACCACAAAATAATAATACATCACTCGCAGGAGGCAGCTCTGTGCTTACAGTTCGGACCGCTCATCGATTGGTGGATGAGCGATAATACGAAGGCCACGCGGGCAAAGGCAGTAAGACGGGTTCACCACGCGGGTGTCCTTCAGACATCTCGCGAATTACGCACGACATTAAATGCTTGACACTGCACCAAATGGCTGATGGCTTTACCATACATAATTTTCTGCCAACCATCCTAACATGCACAGCGGATTAATTAATTTCAATTTTTGCATTATTATTTGGATGCGTAGATTAAAATAAATAATTTCACACATGTTTATATTGTGTATTTTTCATCTTCAACTTCGACTTCGAGGATTTATATTTTGAACAAAATCTGTAAGTTGTCATCACCACAACTGCTACTACGTCTGTCAACAAGTGACCCAGAGCTCATTGTTCGGCTGGGTGCTCACTGCTCATCGTATCATATAGGTAATCTTAGGGGACGAGTGCGGAGCTTTATCAGTAAGTTTATCAGAGTTTTCTCAACAACCGTCGTAATAGGAACCACCGAACCAGAAAATACGTCCACTGAAGTATGAAAATCTACATGTTATTGTTGCCTATGTAAGAAACTAAGTGTGATCAATCTAAAAATTATTTGCGATGAAGATGTCTCGTATGTGAATTATGTTGAAGAAAACGCATCCGACTTGCAATTGAAACTCACAAAAAAAGATGTCGAGTGGTTTGAAAAAATACTTTAATATAATAAAATTAATAAGTCGACAATTTCAAGGTCGTTCCAAGCCAGTAAAGACGAATAAACGTATACATCTTTTCTTTTAAATACGAACATGCAGAGCAAGTTAAATAAAGTTCTTTGAACTGAATTAGCTTTCAACTACTACCTGCCTACACTGTCGACAGGACTCGTACTCGTGTAATCGGAACTCGAAGAAATTATGATTTATGAAACACAATAATATAATTTTCTATATAGTATGGTAACATTGGCCTTTAAAGCCAATTTTGCCTCCACGTACGAAAATTAAATTTTATAATAAAACGTAAACCGATAAATTTGAAATAAAATTATGAAGTTAAAGTCGTGAGTGGATCACATTCGTGAGTTTAGTCATGTAAAAAGCAAAGTCGTGAAGCAGCACAGCTCAGACGAGCGCTCATCTACTAACTAACTACCGCAACAAAGACGTCACCGTGCACGTTCAGCTCCCTCAATGAAGTCTTTCAAGTGCAGTGCGATGCAACTTACCTTAACTCTTGGATCAAGCTCTTCGTGCTCATATTCATCAGGGGAACTACACAAGCTTTCATTGCAATCACGAATTGAACTTGCAATGGCCATGGCGAGAGATAAGCACAGCGATTTAAAAGTGAAATACAGAGCACGGGTTTGTAGGTAAACTTTCACGCCATCATGCCGTCGAAAGTATAGATCCCTACCCCTAACAAGTTGTAGTCACTACTGATTCAGAGAAAAACAACAACGCAGCGTAGTGTTCCTGCAATCAATGCCTTCTCCGAAAAATTTCAGAACAAAAATTTTCTCCTATCAGTACTTTTTCAAACTATAACCGTGCATGTGATATATTTTCAATTAAGTTACATTTATTGGATAGAGGGGAATTTAAAACTATAAGACGGCAGTGTGGGTGTTTAATGCCTTAGAAATTTTCTTCTTTATTCTTCACCTGCGAGATCAAACTTCTCTATCCCAAATGATTACACTCTCTAATATTTTGTAAAATTTACCCTTATAAGATTGAGATCGATAAAGTTCTGACTGTTTTATCAATTTATGTCACTTAAGAATTTGTTTTCAAGATTCTCAACAGATGTCGCTTCTGCAGTAGGTGGCAAAACATAACATGAAGCAATACTCCGTCAACATAACGTTATCCATCAAAAACCTTGCTGCTGGTGATGGCGGGGCTACTCAAACTCTCAATTATGTTCTCCGTGTTTACGTTAACAGTTGGGCAAAGAGGTGGATTAAGAATAGGTAAGCATGAAATTATGGTTGAATAACCGAAAATAACTGGTGCATTAAGAGTTAGCTGAGCTCTCAAACTTTTACTATAGAAAAGCTTCTGCCTAATTATCAAATAGGTAATTAAGTCTGGTTACCAAAAAATTAGCATAGGCAACACTGATATATATTTATAACGTTCTCAAAACGTTGTTGGTATATTTGAAGGTCTTTGGTTAGCTGCTTTTTGATCTGCCAGTGGTGGCTCGTGGCTGCCGCCTGCCAATGCCACAATGCCAGCTAGGTATAGTATTTTGTTTAACTCTTTGAAAACCAACAAACGTGAATAATAAAAATCGTTCTCTGGTCTTAAATTAGTAGGGATCAGGCTTATATTAAACTTAAATTGAAGTATCTATTCATCATTCTATAATCTGTCATATGTGGAGACAGTGGAGTCTGCTACCACAGTCTTCTCCAGTCTCCATAGGAGAAGACCATGAGTAAGCTGAGCTCTGTGCCATATTATTAGGTAATGTTTTCACATGTTGGTTTGACCACACTAAATTGCCAAATGCCAACTTGCCAAGCAGGTTAGCTTGGCATTGCCTGGGCAGCTGGGCTTGAGAATTCCTGCAATTTGAAACCTAAATCCCATCTTTCCTGGAATCAGAATGTAATTCTAGCCTCTAGGAATGTGGGGTCAGATCTTCAAGATCAATCCAGCCTAGGAGAAAATCAGTTCCAAAATATTAGTTAAATATAAAGTAAAATGTAATTACACATTTTTAGATCCAACATGATATGTGCACATGATCATATATTTCCCCTCCCAAATTCCACCCTGCCGGGCGGACAGTGACGTTGAGTGAGGCTGGCAGGATTGGAATCTATTAGATAATTAGATTATTATTATTTGATTAGATTATTTATTATTATAAATTATTAATCAATTAGATTCCAGCCTGGCAGGCTGGAATCTAATTCCATTAATAATAATATCTTGCATATTATAATAATATTAAGACCCCTTTGAACCTTCATTTTACTTGAAAGGTAAGACTCTTATTTGCTAATTTTGCTCTTGTTTAAAGTATGGAAAATACTTGTTTATCTTTAGAATAACATATATATAATAGTACCACTAGCAAAATCAAATTTCAATTTCTGATCCAATACTTTCTGCCTACTGCCTAGTTTTGTTAGGCTTAAAAACAAAGGTTTTCCCTGAAGAAAGTTTTATTTAGCGTACAACTTCTCGGATCCAGTTCGTTGATTGATCTGGGAATAAGGTCAACCAGCTTAGTCAACTATCTGTACAGGATTCTCATAACAGGCAAATACACAACCCAACATAACTGTAAAATATACAAACAAAGCCTTTAGATTTCAGCTATTGAAAGTTAATTCATATGGCTACCAAATATTTCAATAATGGACATCATTAACATATAATGAAGCAATAAACTACACATCTCAGAAAGAGGTAAGTAGTAAAATTATAGTCAAGTTGTTGTCTTGAGCCAAGAAAGTTGCAGACGGACACCACCAGAATAATAATTATTCTATGGGAAGAAAGATACAATAGTTTCAAATGCTTGTAAACAATCAACCAACAGTGATGTTGATCAATTTTAAATCTATATTGCACTGTTTTACATGTTTATAGCAACCTCTTGAACACACCTTAAAATATTTTGCAACTTAGCGGTAGATAATTTTAAGAGGCCATATATAGGGAAAATTATGAAAGTAGGTGAAGCAGACTCCAAAGCAATTATAAATTATGCTGAAAGAAGAACTCGGTTCTTCTTATCAAGGTAGGAATATATATATATTGAGGAATTTACTCTAAAGTTCATAAGCCTATGGCCAAGGTGGTTATACCACAGTAAAAGGCAATGTCCAAGATTAAGTCGGTGTCCACCTTCTAAGTACCATAAGAGCAATCATGCATTTAATCTTAAATAAACATAACAAAAACTGCAAGTGATTACTCCAACAAAAAATCAAATTAAGAATGTGTGGCGGTAAAAACAGACTGCCGAAGTTTGTCCAAGAAAATTGGTGCTTTCACCATCAAGTTACCATGCCCTCTTAGGCTCTTCTTCTATTTACAAGCCTATGCCTATCAATAGGTATGGAGAAAAAGAAATAAAAAAATTTTGCTACATAAGAAATAAGGAAATTTCTAACAGTTTTGCCATGCTTAACTAACGACTATGCTGTGACTCTAGTTGGAAAAAGTCCTACTTTTTTCATAACACCACACTAAAATCAATATCTAACACACTGCTACCTGTCAAATTGATCTGAAATTTTGCACACTTGCGTAAAGTTGGAGACAATGCTTGAAACAATTGACAGAAGTGTAATTTCAAAAATTAAAAAAATTCTAATATTTAAGAACAAGTTTTAAAATAATGTATTTTTAAATATTTAAAAATATAATAAGAAATTCATTGTACCTTTGTAACATCAGAGACACGGCCTCTTTAAAAGTGTTGTCTTTAAAAAGTAATTTTTAAATGCATATTTTTTATTATGATATATTGTGGCTCTAATATCATATAATTTTAATAAAAATTAAATCTCCCTTCTCTAATCTAACATATTCTTGTTTGATTGAAGAAATTACGGTTCGCAAACGTGTCATTTAATAAAATTGTCAACTTCCACAGTACAGTACCACATTCACACCAGAATATCCTGCGTAATGAGTAAACCCAAAACGTTTTGTCAGTGATTGCATAGTAGCGGTCACATCAGACTGCATTGTAACCGCATTAATTCCTAAACAAAAATGTAAATGATAAATTTTATAACATGGTCAGTTGCCAAAATTAGAAATTTGGGGTAACACATGCACAGGACTTTGAAAATGAGTTTGCAGCTTATAAACAGCTTTTCATGACTGGGATATGGTATTCATGGCTCAAAGAAATGGACTCATGGCTTGCAAATACATAGACTCTTGGCTAAAAATTTCCAGTCATGGCTCTGAGAGTAGCTGTTTTTCTTGCCAGCTGTAACTGCTGTCAATGGACACAAAATTTCAGGCCCTGGTGATCTACTAGCACCCAGCAACTGATTTAAGTATCCTTGATAAGTGCCCAGACAGCCTCATATTTGTCATAGGAAGATATATGTTTTTGGTAAATTTCCCTGTGAAAAATGAGCTTTCTAAAATGGTAAAAGAAATGGTCCATGCAGTTTGTAAAGCACTTTATCTGAGTTATTTGATCAATGGGCACCAATGGCTTTGAGAATGGGTGGCAAACCAGCATTAAAAATTCAGTAATGGTCACTAATAAGCATGCTTGCATGTGGCTGGCGGGCACAAGTATATAATTTCATTATCACACTGCCACTGCTGTTAGTAGCAGCAAGCATTGCGCATATGTATGGTCTTTAATTCATGTATGTTCATTGACACAATGTGAGCTGCTGTCACTGTTAGTAGCAGGAGGCATGGAACATATGTGGGTCACTAAAACACACACGTGCATAGGCCACATGGTGAAAGGATACCACCATACCAGCACACAGCTTTGCCTTCATGTTTTTGATGCAAGGTTAATTGCTCACTTTTTTTGTCTCAGAATATGTCAGCCCATTAGCTAGATTGAAAAAATAGCAATATGAATTCCTGCTCACCTAGCACACCTTGCTGACCATGGCAGTCTCTGTATATTTGTTGTGTCAGGCATCAGACCCACTTGCAAATGAACTCACAAACTTTTACTAATGTGTATGAAATTATAACCAATCAAATGTCAATTTCAGCAGTTTGATACAATTTTTGTTTCTATGTTATGTTTGTGAGCCTTTGTAAAACATTGAAATATTCTCTGACTAATTTCATTTATTTATTTTTTTTTTGTCCTACTTAACTGATGGATGTTAGGTTTCTACTAGAAAATTCAAGAAACAAATTAAAGAACAACCCTTTCAGACACTCAAGTTGAGCAGTCATTCTTGTGTGATTATTTGTCTAGTCTGCCATGTTGCCTTATACTTCATGCATTGAAAGCAATACAGGAGCTGGTTTAGTAAATGGCCAGGTTTATCAAATATTCATCAGAACTTCAAAATTACTGTCAAAATTTTGCTAAAAATGTATAGAAAAACTTGATTATATTTAAGATTTTTGCAAACTATATTATGTTTGAAATTGTACTTGATATGCATTAAAGAAATATTGCATGCAATAGAAGGGTAAAATGATACTACTTGTACTTGGAAGTACCGTAAATTATCTGTTAAATTTGGTTTCAAGCTATATTATTCACATTGTGGGATAAAACTTTGGAACAGTGATTACTACTCCATGTGTCATTGTCATCAGAGGTATTTTATCTACGCTCATTCCCTTAAATCTTTGCTTGTTTATGTAAATTACCTCATTTTTAAAATTTGGTTGTTATTGAGTTGTTGAGTGACACAAATATTTAATTTTGCAAATTTTTTACCCAGTTTGTTATTAATTTATTATTTTTTCAGAAGCTCCACCTGGAATTGATGTTGACCATTTTGCAGACCCTACCACTTCAGCTCAGCACAATGAAATAAAATTAGACAAAAGCACAGAAGATGGAGGTATGCTATTCTTTTTCTACTTTATCTCCTATTGTTTGATAATTTAACTTAATTTTTCTTCATAGTAAATAAATTTTCTCATGATTTTCTATAATATCAACATTGCTTTCTGTCATCAGTCATTTTCCAGTATCAAACGGAGTAACGGACTACACTTTTTTAAAGGCTTCTACCAACTGGTGCAAGGACGCAGCATTGATATCCCTGAACATGCAAGTGGGACGCACCTGGAGGTATTCTGCTACAAGGGAGAGGCTAAGAAACTCCAAACTTTCTTCAAAACTGTTGAGGTAAGCCAACAAAGTTCAACATTCTATTATAAAAGCTTTTTCTGCTTCTATTGTATTTCTGTCTCTTCTGTATGACCTTCTTGTTAAGTGCATGAATGGATCCTATTTTTGTTGAAATTTGTAATCTGATAATTGCAATCTAGTGTTTTCTAGATTAATATGTATAAATTTATTTTATTTAAAAGAAGTAAATTGTTCATTGTTTTGTCTGGGTGATTCAGTTGCAGTTGACAATCAAAGAGAACACTTTCCACTATTATGAAGCAGAGAACGCCTCAATGGTCAGGCACATGCACTCACAGAGTTCCTGGTTCTCATTCACTCCCTGGCAACCTTCCTCTTTCAGGTGAGACTTTGATAAATGTATAATAATAATAATAATATATCCAGCATTGTAGCTGATCATTAACATTGCAGAACATTCACAGTTTGTAGCAGTCTCAAACATGCAACTCATTGTTCCAATTTTTCTTTGCTTTACTGCCCGCCCTCCCCACTGATTCTGACCAGAAACTGGCGCACCCGCACCTCTCTGCTCCAATCCTGATACTCTGAACTGTAACCACTGGGCCACTCTATATTAATGTCAGAAATTGTTGTCTTAATGAGTACAATATCCTTGTATGCAGAAATTGTATCTTGAACTATGTAAAATAATTTGTATTCACAGCAATAGTTTTATAACCGTTGTAAAATTTTTTGTATTCACAGCAATAGTTTTATCACCTACGGTAGTTGTTATTGATCATACTTTAGAATCAAGACCACTTCCTGCATTATATTTTTTTCCATCACCCTTGTAAAATCTTTTGTATTCACAGCAATAGTTTTATCACCTAGTTGTTATTGATCATACTTTAGGCTCAAAACCACTTCCTGCATCATATTTTTTTCCAGACTTGATCTGTACAAGAAATCATGTGTTGGCATTGAGACGACAGCAAGCTACACAGTTTCTCTGCGTGCGAGATGTAAGTAAGGTGACTGTGTCTTATGGTATTTCTACAAGTTATTGAATAATCCAATATGATGGCACATTGGTTCTTGACCTAAATTCATTCTATAAGCAAAGTCACCATTAAATATTGATCAAACTCAAAATAACTTTTATTCCAGAATTAATCATGTGAACTGGAATAATTTTTCTTGGCCCTTGAACCCTATATTATATCTTCTCAAATAAATTCTTCACTGATGTTGTTGCTAGCTTCTCCTTTAATTTATATAGAGAAGCATATGAAGCCTTAGCCTTCTGAGCTGTTCTTTCAATATATGTGGCCTTCATGAGAACTTATTCTTTAGAGGTCAAGATCATCTGTTTCAACCAACTAAATTTGACAACTAGATACAGTTACGAAAAATAATTTGGATTTTCATGTTTTTATTTATATATTTCACTATTTTAATAATGGTTCCAAAGTTTTCCTCTTATTTTATAAGAATGGATAATCGCTGCTAGCTGTCTTGGGTGCTAGTCTAAATTTTATAGATGTAATTTTATTTATACACTGCATTTATAATATACCAATAAGGCACAATGTCTAAGACAAAATAAAAAATGGGAAAATGCTGAGCCTTAAACTTCATCCAATCACTATTTCATGTGTGCAGATGTTGAGGATGCTTGCTGTGAAGTTTTGAATTGGTCCCCAATCTGCTTGACTTCAATTGGTGTTAAAATAGTTGAAATATCTTACAGGAATAATGTCCTTAAAAAGATTCGAGCAGCTTGATAAAATTTATTTTATGGTTGGCCCTCAAATGAAACAGATTAATGCGCCATTGGTCCTTTACACAAAACTATCTATGGAGTATGAATTGGATCATTGTGCTTGCTCCAAAGTATAAATTGTTTTATTAATGTCAAATTCATGCGGGGAAGTTCTGTAATTACAGTAGATGTTGTGTCTGTACAGTCCTGGACGTGTGGCGCGTGTGTCTGCTGTGCGGCGGTGTGCTGGTGTTCAGCGGAGCGCCTGCCCTGGCGCGCAATTTGCTCTTCCATTACTTGAGTGCGAGCTGCCTGGCTGTCGTCGGCTCCTTCCTTATTGTTCTCATCTTACTCGCCAAGTTTATTCCTAAGGTCAGAGCTCTGCACCTGTGCTAAACACTCTTCAACGCCACGTACAATTTAGATTTCTTTAGGAGTATGATATGTACAACGGACATGGAACTAAATGTAAGCTTATTTTGTTGATTATCAGTTTGAATGTGTTTAATAGCATTCATGAGATAGCTTATTTTTGGTTGTGCGTTATTTTCAAATTAGAGACAAATAATAATCAAATTTTTCCTTCTAATAAATCTTTGTAATACAAATGGGAGGCATTACAAATATATTTTATGTAAATTTCTTCCCTAAATCAAGTTTATTTTTTGATGATTGATATTTTTTTAAATTGTCATTTGGTTTCCTGTGCAGCGGTCAGGAGCCGTGACATTTATGTTGGGTGGTTCAGGGCTCTTCTTGTACCTTGCCCAGCTCCTGTACACGAACTTCGTCACACTCATTAATGAATACTACAACATATTCTTGGGTGAGTAACGCACTCATGCTTCACTTTCTTGGGCTTATGTTATAGAGAAAAATATCACTTCGAGTGGTAAGAAGCCTTAAGCTTGTTTAATTTGGTCATCGGCCTTCTGCTTTTAGTTCATTTATATGGTTGTATAAATATTTTATTTGCCTTGTAGATTGCTCAACAACCTAACAAAGTTTCTATTGCACGAGTAATTGATAAAATTAAATCTGAGCAAGTCTTACTTACAGGATACATCTCGTGTACGGCTGTGATAAGCTTCTGTGTGATGTATCGCTGCGGTGGCGTGTCGGACGTACGCACGCTGCAGCTGCTGCAGTGGCTGCTGCAGGGCGGTGGTCTGCTCGCAGTGTACTGCAGCAGTCAGTACAGAGAAGTAGCTTTAGCTGCAGTACTACTACTGCTCGCCTACCACAACACTCCATCAGTGCTGTCTACTACCGTCAAGTCTGCGTGGTTAGTCACAGAATATTGTTACTAACAAAGTTTACTTGAAAATTACTCTACTTCAGCATTACAATGTCGTGTTATGTACGTCTAGCCGTTTATGATCAAATTAGCCGTATTATATTCTGAAATATAGATTATATACTAATTTTTAAAAATTAATTATTACAACACTTCTCTTTAACTTCACTTTTTATTGTTTGTTTGTCTGCTAAAAATCTTAAAATCGATATTTAACACACTTCTACCTGTCCAATCAATCTGAAATTTTGTATACTTGCGTAAAGTCGGAGACAACGCATTAATCAATTGACAAAATAAATAATTTTTTATGTGTAAAAATTGTTTTTAACTATAAAAAAATTTAACAAAACAAATTTTTGAATATTAAAAAATAAAGTAAGAATTTCATTGTACATGTGTAACATCTCATCTGAAACACTGGCCTTTTTAAAAGTGTTGTCTGTAAAAAGTAATTTTTAAACGCATATTATACATAAATATTTTAAATGAAATGTGTAGGATGCATGGTAGGTAAATTTATTTTCACGAATAAAATTTATTTTGTAGACTGTATTTCTATTATTTTGTTCTCGGTACGTTTTCTTTTGTTCTCATTAAAACTTATCAATGATTGGATATAAGATTGTCCGTACTCAGTCTAGGCGACGGCTCAGTTTACTGCAATTGTATTTACAAACAGTTAGTGTTGTTTGCTTCATAGATAAAGATCACTGCAGTAATATTCTATTTGCTGACCTGCTAAACTGTCCTGCGTACACCTGTCAGTACGCTCTACACGCTCCTAAACATTATTCTTTCAATAACAACACCGAAGGTGTTTATTTTCAAGAGATTCATGAAGTTTTAAAGATGATCCAGCGTATTACCTTGGTAAATACGAGCCAAAAATTCTCGGGAAGCTGACAATCACGAATTTTGGTATTGCACGTTTCTTCTATAGATGTTAAGTGAATTTGGTGTGGCACGTTTATATTGCATGGCGTTGTTCTGCAAATCCTCAGATTATGCATCTTTGCATTTGTAGGAGACGGAAATTTCCTCCGAAGGTGAGGTTGCTGACAGAAGAGGAGTTCATCCAGCAAGGCAACGTGGCAACCGCCAAAGCCCTTGAGGATCTAAGGAACTACTGCAGAAGTCCTGACTGCAACGCCTGGAAGACCTTGTCCCGACTTCGTTCTCCTCAGAGGTGACCATGCTCAATATTTTAGGTCATATGTTTGCTGGTATTTATTGTGGAAACCTTAGCATTTTACTTCCCGCTCAGAAACCTTTATAATCTCGTTTCACATCCCTGCAGTGGTGTCTAAATGTTGGCCTCTTACTAGGACTTTCATATTAGCTGACTCATTAGCTCATAGCATACCTCCAAGCAGAATTAAAATCATTTTCACGCTTTGGTGTTGATTTGAAAAGCTTTCTGGAACGTTGCATCATCAAAGCGGATTATATATCACAGGAAAGCTTATAGCTTATACCTGGTTGGTATATTTAATATTTTTCTGAAAACGAAATCATTTCACGAACATGAAAATGACAACATGGCAGAAGCATCTAAATACTTTGTGCTGAATATTTATTTATATTTGTGGGGACGGACAACTTTTTAGCCAGTATCCTAATGTTTCTCTTGTAGTTTGGATCGCAAAGAACCTCGCCCTTATCGTCCTTGCCGTTCCCGCATACCCAGGTAATAAATCGTCAAATTATTCGTTCATTCTCAAAGGTTGATACACGATGCAATAATTTTATACCCTCAAAAGTCTGAACCGAAGTCTTTTCCTTTAGTTGCCCATGACGTGTCATTGATCTTGTTACCAATAATGTACTTCTCCTTTCAACGCTGATGTACTTTCTTTCTTTTGTTTTACTCATCCTTGGGTTAGCGTCTTCGGTCGATCATGCTGGGTTCATTGAGTTTCCTCACGCTGATCAACAAGTTAGTTACTTCAACTGATGTACAATTTTCCGAGTTACTTCAACTGATGTAGAATTTTCCGAGTTACTTCAACTGATGTAGAATTTTCCGAGTTACTTCAACTGATGTAGAAGTTTCCGAGTTACTTCAACTGACGTACAAGTAACTACGAAACTATGATATTTCCAGATTTGCAGAGTTTGTGGAAGGTTCGTCGCACCTCTTGGACGACGAGATCTTACAGTACGATCACTCGCACCACAACGGCTCCCCGGGCGCCAGGGTCCTGACGCTCACAGATGATGAAGACGACTTGACGGATGACGACGAGCGCTGAACCAACGTCAGGGCAGCAGTTCGGATAGTGAACTTGTGTTCGAGTCATTTGCCTAAAAGGCTGGGGATGTAAGAACAAAAAACGATTTGAACAGGTAGACCGCAAGACCTTGATCTTGCGTTGTGTTACAGTGACAGCTATTATGTCATCCAGGAAGTAGATTCCTTATGCTGTGTTTAATGATAAGCAAGTGACTATTTTGAAATACTAGGTACGTTATGAGATAAGTTATGCGAATGGTATTTTAGACTACAACTTGATGAATTACTGCGAGGGGAATGCGTCATGATCATTTTAAAAAGACTGTGATAATAATTAACTGTAGAGTGATCGCTATTGCTTAATCTCGTAACCATAACTTTGAGGTTCTTGTTTGAAATACCGACTGATTCGGTCAAAGGTCAAAATTAATTTTTCTGCATTAAATTTTGTCATAGCATCGTAATAGCCTAACTAGCTTAATGGGATAAAGAAAGAGCATCTAATAGTCGTGCATTACACGAGTGGTGCGAGGCGACAAAAGCGGTGGTCTAATTGCTTCACATTTGAAGGATTTCATTGTCAAATATCAGTTGGTGCTGAATAAATTTAATCCTAGTTTTTATTTAGCTTATTTTATTTCAAAATGGACTGTTTTCTTTTATTAGACGGTACAAAAGCACTTTGAATGACCATAATTTTTTATTATCAATTTTTCGAAAATTTTTGTAAGAAAGAAATAACAAAGTTTTATGTTTGGGTTAAATTTTGGGGCCGTCTGCATTTCAAACAAGACCGTCTTCATCCTTCACCTTTTTGAAGAAAATGCATTGTAAATATCATGCCGAGACTCTAATTTCTATCTTAATCTTCCTCCGTGTTGCAAGTCGCTCCCAAAATCTCATTAATATAGTGTGGCTGTGACATAATTGGCCTCCGTCCCATCATTTGCCCGCCTCCCTCCCTCGTCTCCCTGACGCCCGCCACCTGAGCAACTCTTGGCTGTATTTCGCCGCTATGAGCAACGAACGAGTGATCAGGACTCGTTTTTATTTCTGTCTTATGCTGTGGAAGAAGATAGTGCGTTGTTAAGTAATAAGTAGCCTCATAGATGTTGATGCTCAACAAATGTCACTGTGAAGTGCCTATAACCATGTTTTGCTTCTAACGCAGTTTGGCCGAGAATTTTAGATTTCAGAACAGGACTGTTTGGACGTGAATATATGTGCTTTTTTAAGATGAATGAAAGGATGAATGCCTGTTAATTGAAACCTTGCAAAAAAAACTCTAACAAAGTTTTTAACCTTCTTGCTCTCTATAACAACTCTATTTCGCCCTGTTTTCCCTCCACTCGAAAATTTAGAACCCAAGTTTTCCGAGAGTGTGATTCACTTAGCGTGTTCCATGACCACGAGGTTGTACATGATGAACAATGGATCCAAGTCAATTTCTGTCGTGAAAGTAACTATCTTTTGTTTATTTTTAGATTTGGGAACATTCACTAATGGTGCTGTACATGTTTCATCATGTAACCGCTCCCGGTGCTAGATAGTATGTGCCATCTTCACCACTCTTATTGGAAGTAATGCACTGATGAGTTTTTTTTTATCTCAATACTGTGGGAGTTTGCCATTTGAATATTGGAACAGATGAGAATGAGCAAGTATTCGTAAATTCAAGGATTGTCGTGTATTTCCTCCATCTCCTGCCAGTCAATTGCAGGAGACGTGCTGTTTCATCTCCCAGTTGATCTTAGTGTGCTTCTACAGAGGTGCACAATGCTTTTGTAAGTTCTTACATATTCTTCAACGACAACATTTACGGCTGTTGATATACATGAATCTTTTATTGTGCGCCCACTGTCGAGGTTACTTGGTCAAAGTAAATTCAATTCAATAAAGCATTTATTAACAATCCAATTTATTTGACACCACATATTTTCTATCAACGAAATATTTGTACGCATTCGAGACACGCGTACTCTTACTCAGATCGTACTCATCACTCGAGCCGCTTCCCCGTTTAAACGCCACGCTACTAAAAACAAAGATGCTTACACGTACGAAAAGGCCTTGACAATCTGTTACGTATTGTAATCAAATTATACTTATCCCGGTAAATTTCCTTCATTGGGGTTAGAGACAAATCTGTCAGTTTGACGGTTTCCGTATATAAATATTTGTTATATTCTGATTCACTAACATGGTTTTGTAACAAATTCATTCAAAAGACCGAATGAAACAATTGAACATGCAGAACTAATTGCTGAACAATATGCACCTACATCACGGATGTGCTGATAAAATCGCACAACATTTTCTGAGCTTCACATTTTACCTTAACCCATTGATGCCGAGCGGTTCCATTTGGAACCAGCGGGAAAATAGATTCATAATAAAATTGTAAGATCAAATAAATATGCAAGTGGATGCGTAGGTTTGATACACATAATAAAATTGTAAGATCAAATAAATATGCAAGTGGATGCGTAGGTTTGATACACATCTTGTACATGTTCTGGCAACGTTTGCTTCTGCTGCGCCGATCACAGCGAGTAATTTGATCTAAAAAAATATTTTTTATGAGTTAGATGCAGAATTTTATCGATAGAGCGAGTCCTTCTAATATGGTGTATGCTATTACGTAAAATAATACTTCTAAAGTTATTTAGATCATGAAATATTTAGCCGGGTTCCTAATGAAACTAAACTATAATTTTTCACATGCAACGAAAAATGAATACACACAATTTTTATTTATTACCGTCACAAGTGATATTTTCACAGGAAAAGACAAAAAAAAATTCAGAAATAATTCTCGGCATTAATAGGTTAATAAGGCACGATCCAACCCTGCTTCACGAATAGTTTGAGCTATTGACATAATTAACAATCAACCATGTCTGGCATACTATGCGCACAACCATAAGAAACGGACGTCCATGAAATGGAATTTTCCTAACGAAACGGATAAAATATGCGAACATTTGAAACGGCTATCAATTGGAGCGTTATGCGTCTAATTCATTGTGCGCTTAAATTAAGTAAGGACGCATAGCTTAAAAGCTTGCAAAACAGCGAATATGGCACTTGGGTAAGCATCACAAGATAAACTTATTATTGCACAATACAGGCGTCTCGACTGCACTAACAATTGGAACGGGAGCACAACAGCTAACAGTCACACAATAAGTGCATAGTTTTACTGTAACCTTGGCAGGAATTGAAAGCTAAAGAACATTTCCCAACCTTAGAAGAACAACAACCTCCTGTGGTTTACGAGTCTATGCGAAAGACACGATAACATGATTAAAATAGAATAAAAATCATATAGTTCAAGTTTGGGGAGAGTAAGGCACTGGTTTGGTAAAGAGCTTCAGTCGGCTTCGTTCCGTATAAGGTTTTGAACAAAAATAGAACATTACATGATTATTATTTTCACTTATTCGACGTTATGGAACTTCTTTGAAAACAAAAAAAGGGGGAGCAAACCTCGAAATGAGGTGGCGCTTAATGCAGGCGATCCAACATTTTGGTGGATCCATGCCCCGCAGGGCACAAGTAGCGTAAAACTTCCTGTCTTGTCTCTTTCAAATCTCTTAGCCAAAAATGCTAAATGTAATTACCTCGCACTACAAACGAAGGTCTTGATGATGTGCCAATGCCGTGGGGGAATGGGAGCATAGTAATCATGATCATTAAGTAGGCAGCGTTGCGAGTATCGCTCTCTCAACTCACAAAGCAAGATACTTCAAAAGACGATTTTAACTTCGACGCCGAATAGCGGACTAACACTGGCACTGCACTCGATGGGAAATCCCTTAACATTAAATAGAGTAGAAAACTTTTATGTATTGCAGCTTTCGAGAGCCTCATGATAATACTCTGATAAAATTCTTTACGATTTTTTACGATGCATTACGTACTTATATTACGTACTTATTAAAACTTAATAAACAAAAAGAGTAACTCTAATTAAAAGCAAATTAAAGTAATTCTGGAAGCTACTGAGCAGACGTTCACAACACCATCAGCTGGAGGCACACAACACCATCAGCCGGAGGCACACAACACCATCAGCTGGAGCACCATAGAAGAAGTGTAAATCACTAGACTGAGAGGAAGAATTTTCGTGTGACCGAAATTTCTATTGGAAACATTGAAGTTGGTCGTAATACAGCGAATCTTGAAGATGCAGAGCGTATGTGAACGTCACAACCATGCCCGAACTCATTCTACGGGACACCAATAACGGCTTTATGAATATGTGCTTGGTTGCATGTAAAATGTGCAAAAATCAGGCGACCAAATCATAATGAAAAAAAGCCTCTCAAGTAATGGAAGCACAAGAAGGCGAGTTTAAGGGTTAAAATATATCGAAATAGCGTAGATTTGGCCATAGAGAGCACAAAGGAAGCGCTATAGCAAGAAGTCCTGTTCATTTTAAACGCATATAAAAGATTCAGGCAGGCTTTTTGCCGCGCATAAATCTGGGAGGCAAACTAGATGAGGCTCTTGCACTTTTGTGTCGAGCGTCACTGGGAGACTTTTCTTTAACCAAGACTTTTTTATCCATGGAAACCATTTTGCTGTTCCTCGCGAGACTCTTGCTAGATGACGAAGTGCTTGATGCAGAAGAATTATTTTTGGTAGAACTCTTGCACGGACTTACAGCGCCTATACAAATGTTTACATTGTCATCAACGGTTTTATTGTCACTGCTGTTGGTGATGGTGAGATCACTGTCATCATCATTACTATGGTTAATGCCACCAACGCTCGTGTCCGCACAATTGAGCGCATCGCTAACATCAAGTTTGTTGTCCAACGAGTCAATACTAGAGTGTACCTCCTCGCCACCGTTGTTGAGGATCATTCCATTTCGATCATTGATGTTCATAGTGAATTCATTTCTCACATTGCGCGAATAAATTCCTCCACCGGAACTACTTTTCGTGATCGAAATCAAGTGACAATTTCGATTAGTATCTGATGCAACCACAGACGCAGACTGGGACTTTGATAGAGCCAGGAGGCCATCGGGGTTGGGGGTCGGGTAGACAAACGGGCACGGTTGGTACGACCGAGCACGACGAGCTTCGAGAAGATTAAAATTAGTAGCCAGCGGCACACGAGGGAGACTCACGCTCTTACTAACTCCGTGCGTGGCGCGTGCAACGGCGTCCACTGACACGGTGCTTCCACTCACAGAACTCTGCCCACTTTTATTCAGTTCTTCAATAACAGAGTTGCTGAAAGCTGCTGATGATTCATGTAGTTTGGTCGAAACTTCAGAGCTCACCGAGCCATGAAATGACTCATGGACCTCTTCTACTGGCCCGTTCCTTTCCTCGTTGAACGTAGTACAAGGGATGCTAGGAGAAATGTAATTATCGTGCGCTGTTCCGTTGACGGTGCTTTCGGAGGGAGGTTCGATAATAGTGGGCAGGGGCACCGGCGGCGGTTGTGGGATAGCAGCCCCGCTACGGCGATGGTTCTCTATGCTTCTCCACAAACGCATCTCAGTGCCAAGACTACGGAACATGCAAAGACAATTGGATATTAATGTAAAGCTGCTTTAAGATCCTAGCCCGTTAAAAAATGCGTAATAATTCCAACGTCATGAGATGATAGGCTATACTGAACATGAAACGTCATTTTGACGATCGAATGTACGAGCTGCAATGAAATCTGCGTAAATGCAAAGTAAAACCTTCAAAAACTTAGCATTATGTTAAAACTATTCAACTCATTCACACAGAAATATTCCAGTGGTCATGTTTGCAGATTAAAAATAAAACAACCACAACCAACATAGAAAATTGTCCGTAGTCAATCAGATTGAAGATCATAAACTAAAAATGAAAAATAACTAGTCCGACCTGAGGCGCATTCGGGCCAAGTCCTCCCTTGAAGCGTGATAGATCAAATCTTCTGCTGACATTTCTTCTGCCACGATCTGGGGAAATAATTTCTTTTTTATAATTTAAGTCAATGAAATATTTTACGACACACGTTCTTTTCATACGTAGTGAGCTTTCTGTTAGTATTGCTCAATAGTTATAAAAATCGAGAATGGCCAAGATTGTAGAAAATTATTTGTTTTCTCAGAATGAAAAGTTATACTCATTTATAGAGACACATTCGTCATTTTATTGCTGCCCAAATCGTCGCCTTTCTTAATAGATCAAGATTTTGAATACTCTCTCACCTAGCCCAACAGTTCTGTCAGTGTCAAATAAGCTCACAATTATTTAACCCATATTCACCCAAGTCTGTGTTTGACAAGCCTGCCACCACAAATATATAGGTGCTGTGCGGGCACGTACCTATCTACGATACTTGTAGTGTCCGGATAACCTACCCTGGAAATTTTATTCTGGCGTGAGCTGGGCCATTTCAAGACGGGCAAGGGTCAATAGTGAAATTAAAAGTGAAAATAGCTTCGACTTTCAAGCTGGAAACTAGATGCTAACTTTTAATTAATCGGGACGGGGAATTCTTAGAAGAACGTTCCTTGGTTTCGAAATTGTCAACTGGAAACAAAATTCAGGATAGTAGCAATAAAATGGCAAGATGACATGATGCGGGATTTTTCAAAGCACGGTTATTATCAATCCCGTCGAGTCAACGCGCAGGTACTAAATAGAACACATAAGTTAGCGCCACGCACCCTGTCGATGGCAGGCGGGGGGACGGCGTTGAGCTGCAGCCAGTGCACCAGCGCCGCGTCAGGCTCAGCGCCTCTGCTGCTGCGTGTAGTTGTCCACACGCCGCTGCTGCCGCCGCTGCTCACGTCACCAGTAACAAGCTGCACAATATATTGCTGCATCAATGAACCAACCAGGCCACCATATTATTGCGGGAGTAGGTCTCATAACTGAGAGGACGAGGACTTCTTCAAAGACTAGCAGCTTTCAAATATCACAAGAGCATCGAGTTGAACTCGTTACGAACATTACGTCGTAGGTGATACGTAGTCCATATATTAGCTAATCCAGCCGTATTTTTAGCTCATTTTAGGTGCGATAACCGGATAAGAAGATTCGTAAAAAAGCTGATACTAATCGTCATCATCTATAATAAAAAACTTGTTGCCTCGTATTTAAGTAGGCTTTCTGAGCAAAAGTTTAATAAACCTGACATTCTTTTCAGCGCGGCGTGCGTATGGATCAATAAGTCCTGCCACGAGGGGAGCGCTCTGAGCACCTGCACTGAAGCGGTGTTGGGGGTGAGCAGCAGAGACGTGGAGCCTGTAGCCTGCAGCTGCTGCTGGAGAAGCTGCACCTGCTGCTGCCGCTCCTGCAGGAGTTGCTTCAGAAGGCTCTGGTATCGTTGCTCAACTTCGTTTTGCTCGTGTAGTAACCTTCAAGAAAGAATAAAATATCTAACATTTAAATAGAATATTATTCCTCCTTGAAAATCGTCCAAAACTGTCAGAAATAGAGAGAAATAAATAATCTACCGCATCTTTTATCGAAATGTGCTGATGAAAGAACGCGGCTCCTAAAATAAAGACTGACGAGGCGTTCTGCTGTCGCGTGGTGTGGAGCTGGTGGTGTAGCTGCATGCAGAGGTTGCTTTGGTGGTGCAGCATTTCAGTGGCGCTGCCACCAGCGGTTGTTGATTTGCCGCTGTTGACGGTTGACATGCCAGGCGTGGGGCTGTGGTCGCACACACCTCCCCCGTCACCCTCAACACGCTCACCCTCACAGCTGTCACTCTCACCCGCAACCAGCATGTCCATGCCTGAGAATAAAAAGAGTGGACAAGAATATGGATAAGAGTTATAGTGCACACAAATAGTGAGACTGCATAAACAATACTTCCCATCTGGTGACTTAGCCATTTTAAAATTTATTTCATAATGAGATGCCTTCCACACACTCGTGGTCGTCGACGCAAGTAACACTACACGATACTCGCAAGCACCAGGGGTGTAATATCAACCAAACATAACACAGCACATACACAGCAGTTAACATAACACAACAGATCACGAGCACAGTAGTGAGTATTATCACAACACATCCCAACACAACACATCACATATACGAGAACACAAGTTACGCACCAGCAAGGAATGACACAGTGGACTCACCAGGTTGCAGGATGTTCATGGCGGTGTGCACTGCGCCGCGCACGACGTCATCAAAAGCAAACATCCAGTGAGGTTTGATGTTGTGTCTTCGCAGCACTCCGCACACCTGCAACATCAACAGTATAACTCTAGCGACTATGTTGATGGAGGTATGCAGAAATAAAGCAATAAAGATTTTATTGAAGGTGCGCCACAAAGCTCAGATGTAGCGCTGTGAGATGTAATATTGTAGGTAGCAGCAGCAGTAGTAGGTTTACTAGCGCTTAAAACATGTATCTAGAATATTGTAAGAGCTTATAGTACAGACGGCGTGAGGGAAGGTGTAGAGGGCGTGTTGGATGTAGTCCGTGGTGTCTTTGAAGGACGGACTTTCAATCTTCGACCGTACGGACGACAGAGCTTTAAACACAGGTCCTCTCTGCAAGCTGCCGATGTTAGCTTGCAGTCCCCCCATCAGTTCTTCCAAATGGCTCTGAAAATAATTTCACTTCGATATTACTGAATATAATCTCTATATTGTACGGTGTTTCATCAGACTAATTATCAAATGTTCTGCAAATGAAAATAATGGAATAAAATCTAGAAAAATAATGGAAAATAGACAAATTCAATGGCAGAATAGATAGTTTCTTTAATGGCAAACAGGAAAACACCGTAACAACTTCCCTTTGATGAGCGTACCTATTTTATTTCATATAAACAAGAGAAGAGTAGCTAAAGAGACTTCATTTTGTTCTATTTATTATGAAAATACAAATATTTCCCCACCACCAAACACTTTTATATACATATTGTTCGACAATATTCAAAAGATATTTCTTCGTTAAAATTATTTCATATGATGAATGGTAATGACGTTTCCCCACGTACCATTATAGTACTTATATTCGCTACACTTCACGTAATACATGCGGGAATAATTCAAGTTCGATGAGGTAACTGACCTCCTGGAGGGGGAAAGTCTGAGTCCCGAAGTCTTCTTGTGCGCGGTCCAGCCAAGACGATATCAGCAGCTTGTGGTCTTTGTCCAAAATTTGAGACAAAGTCATGCGGCGCTCCGAGTCTTTCTTCAGCAGATAGAAACCGTCTTGATCCTGCAAATTAGATTTCTGTATCAAGAAGTCGTATTTCTAAACATACTATAATAATGAAAATTTTATATTGGGATACACTGTTGTGCCATTACAGTGTAACCCTGTGCGTTGATCCAGTCTGCCTCCAAGTGTGGGTTTAAGAAAATGTATCGAATGTTGTCGCATAATAAGCAACACGTACACGAAAATTACAAATATAACACACAACTAAAGTTTCATTTATGAGCAAACATAGGTGAAGGAAAATATTGATAGGCGTGTTATTTGAACGAATTTTAAAAGTTATTCATGAGACGGGCAGTGGGGCAGTAAAGGTTGCAGTTTGAAGGTAGACCGTAACTCACAAGGAGACGCTCAGGAACTTACGTTTGTTGTGCGGCCCGCGGTGTCCACGTCGGGGGTGAGGACGTTGCTGATGGAGGGGCGGCGCCCTGAGAAGTCGTCCGTCTCCACACTCATCCCCTGACTGAGCAGGAACAAATCAGTCTCGATAGACACTTACATTCTTGGCGAGGATCGCGATCACGTTTGTTCCTTTGTCTTAAATTTGACTGATTTAAAATTAATAATGGCCTATAGAATTGAAATAAAAGAGCACTTAATAGGCTGACTTGGAAAGCATTGTGCAGGGATTGAATACGACGTTCATATGATCTGAGGTGTAGTAATGATGCAGGCTTGCCCATGCTCTAATTCTTATGTTCTAAATATTTTTATCCGATGTGATTCTCCTTATCCGAGGAGGTTGTTCTTATCAGAGTGTAAATGCAGGCTTAACTATGAACGACTGGTGTCACATCAATCTTTATTGGTATGCGATAATCTCTGCTCTGGAGGCTTACCCAGTATATGAGAGAGTAGGGATTGACTGGGGATGAAGGTTTACCCAGTATATGAGAGAGAAGGGTGAGGCTGGGGATGAAGGTTTACCCAGTATATGAGAGAGAAGGGTGAGGCTGGGGATGAAGGTTTACCCAGTATATGAGAGAGAAGGGTGAGGCTGGGGATGAAGGTTTACCCAGTATATGAGAGAGAAGGGTGAGGCTGGGGATGAAGGTTTACCCAGTATATGAGAGAGAAGAGTGAGACTGGAGATGAAGGTTTACCCAGTATATGAGAGAGAAGGGTGAGGCTGGGATGAAGGTTTACCCAGTATATGAGAGAGAAGGGTGAGGCTGGGGATGAAAGTTTACCCAGTATATGAGAGAGAATGGTGAGGCTGGGGATGAAGGTTTACCCAGTATATGAGAGAGGAGAGAAAGGTGAGACTGGGGACGCAGTGGCGGGAGGGTGTATGGCGGTGAGAGTGTTGCTTTCCCCACGGCTTCCCCCGCTGCCCCCAGAGGACTTGAGGATGCACGGCGACCCGCCACCTGTATCGCTGCGCAAGCAAAATCTCCCATCAATAAAGCATCAAATTAATGTTATGCGCACATCATCCATCACAGGTGTCCGTGTAACCGCACACAACTCACCCCAAAAATATCTTGGTCAATGCAATTAGTCAGTCAAGAACAATGTCAGGCTTCAACACACAGAGAACTCAAAGAACAGAGAACTCAGAGCACAGAGAACTCAAAGAACAAGAGCATTGCGAGTGTCAAGACGACATTACACGATAGTTGTCGCCTTACCTGTCGTCAGGCGAGGACGGCAGACGACATTTGTCCAGCTGTTGTTGTTGTCGCGCAGGCAGGCGGTCAACAGGCACGGAAATGCTCCTGTTGAACTCCTGCTGGGTGGTCAAGCGACCCATTTTTTTCTTGCTGCCCAAACTGTGGTTGAAGAAAACATCAAGTTACACTAAGATCGGAATACAATGCATAGATGAAAAAGGTACTAAACAGATGAACTCAAAAAAATTCATGACACTAGAAACTCAAAAAAATGTCTTTCTCGTAATCAATCTCCCCGGGGATTGAAATAATGTACCCGTTTTCGTTATTCATTAGAAAAGCAAGCAACACGCCCTTAATGCGAGAAAAAATGCCAACATATAATTTGTTACTGCGAGTCTAACTCAGCCAATCTCAGATTTGTAGTGAATGAACATCTTCAATTCACCAGCGAAGTTATTCAAAAGTTTGTTGCCAAATGTTCACGCTAGTTACCTCTGAATCCTCTTACATTTCTGTTACTTTTTAGGACTGTCAATAATTAAATAATATACGAATTGTGGCAGTCGTTCAATCCTCTATAGACTCATGAATAAAATGAAATATAGTACCTCACTTGATTCCTTAATTATTATCATTAATAGCTAGAATGCTAGATGAACCCGACACTTTGCCTTGATTTAGAAATTAGTAATGAAAGGGTCCTCGAGCAGCTGTGCTGCCGTGGTCCACTTGTCAAGGCCGGGTCCATCACTTACTCAGTAATGAAAGGGTCCTCGAGCAGCTGTGCTGCCGTGGTCCACTTGTCAGGGTCGGGTTGATTAAATAGGGATTTTTTAGAGAGATATATTTTATATTATAGAGAGAGAGACGTTGTTTCCTATCGTCTCATATCTTTTAAAGTTGGGTGAATCGGAGTGATCTACTCCACCAAATTTACGTTACGTTCAGGTTCAAGATACCGGTATTCATTACTTATCGTTTTGTCAGGTAGTCTGCCGAGTGGCATTTGATTTGGCACGTGAATAAGGTTCTCTTTTTGGAAGCGTTACGGCAANCACGAATATCAGGGTGTACTTTGAACATGCCCACCTGCCCACGAATATCAGGGTTACTTTGAACTTGCTTACGAATCAAATGTTTCTCGCCTTCTGAGCACGTAGCTTAGTTCTAGTTTAGTAGCATAAGTTCGATCACAATAACAAGAAAGCAGAGGGACAGCTTTCGTTATCAGCGAGGAGTGCTTGATTAATAATTAGTTGTCATATCATTTCAAAAAATAACCTCCAAAATGATCATCGACAACGTTCGTTATGACAAACTAACATAAAACCGCAAAATGATATTGGAAATATATAAAAGAGAGCCTACAAATTGAAACATTTTCGAAGATAATAAAACGTTCATCACGCCTTAGGATAGATTTTCAAAATTAACCAGGGCTTAAACAAAAGAGATGAGCGAAAATCATTTAATGAGTTGAACACCAAATTGGATAACAAATCAAGGATAAGGTTTAAGGTTTATCTTGAACATAACAAATCAAGGATAAGGTTCAAGGTTTACCTTGAACATAACAAATCGAGGATAAAGGTTTCAGGTTTACCTTGAACATGGCGGCTTGCGGAGACCCGAGTTGGTTGAAGGGAGGCTTGCCTGTCGCCATCTCGACCACAGTGCACCCTAGCGACCAGATGTCTGCCTGCACCACACACGCATACATTCTTAACTGACATCATCCGATAAGAATTTTCTGCATAAATACAACAACATAGAAGTAAATAAGGGTTCTTTTATGAGGCAAAAATTGTCACGAGCCATTACATTCTACACGTTGCGTGGATTCTGCTGAAGCTTACACGCCTGTCATAAGCACAGGTGCAATATGTGCCCTTTAATAGTGCAGTTCAGACAGTGCTATAGGATGGCAGAATTGGTTACTTTAAACAAGTTTATTCGAAGACCAGAGAATATGAGCAGTTCAGTAACGATATGATGGCGATGCACTCAAAGAACTCACAGGCGCGCCGTATCCCCTGGCCCCCTTGTCGATAACCTCAGGGGCCATGTACTGCAGGGTGCCTGCGAACGTCTCCGTCGACTGGTACACGCCTCCCAGACGCTTGCTCGTGCCGAAGTCGGATATTTTCACAACTCCAGTGTAGGTGTTGACAAGCACGTTGTCACCTGATGGTAATTATCTTCTTTATTGTAAGATCGTGATGATCATTAAAGCCCACACAAGCTCGTAAATAACATTCATTTTGAGTCAGTGTGAGAATACGAGCTAAGAATATTCCTGTACAGATAACAGCTCACGGTAAGCATATTTTTATTCATTTAAGGTACAATTGTAAATTTAAACGATAAGAGACTTGCCTTTTATGTCCCTGTGGACAATTTTCTGGTCATGGAGATACTTGAGACCTTCCAAGATCTGTTTGGTGTACCGCGCCATGGTAGACTCGTTCTCCTTCAGAGGCCCCCACTTACTGCGCAGCAACGCTGACAAACTCCCGCCCGGCACCTGTGACCAACACTTATTAATCAACAGGTCCTATAACTGCAAGTCTTTCAAACAGGTCCTTCACACAGGTCCTGTAGCTGCAGGTCCTTCAAATACTACTGTCACCGGCCAGAGCTACTATAATTCAATCTGAACGTCAGGCTTTGTAATTCACTATCAGGATCGAATGCTCACCGCTCATAGGCCAGGACAAT